GGGTACAACTGACTAGTTGCATTATTGTGTAAGTGGCTAAATCAAAAGTTCATTGGCACTGGGACAAATACATATATTAATAAGTTAGAAAACACGAAGCACCATTAGGTGTTTAAAATGTGACAATTGTGAGCATTAACTTTTTGTGGAGAAAACTGATTTCCCACATACATATCTACATTGTCTGGGTATTCTTCTTTTTATTGTGGTGACTTTCTGACTGACACCAACAGGCAAGTTTTTATAATAAAATAGACTGTTTTTAGGAGTTCCCTCTTTTAGTTCTCTATAACCGTGTGAAAGGTGATGATTCGTTGAATCAGTATTCCCTTTTTAATGGGCTGTACAAGGTACATTCTTGCAGAACATGTTCTTCAGTTTGCTACACACCCTACATAGACACAATGGTGAACTACTCAGAGGAAACCTGTACATATGCTTATTAAGTTTGTTATGTCCTGAAGCGTAGAATGATGACTTGTCCATGCGGGTCAAATAAGTGGTAGTCGTCTTTGGCCAGATTATGGCCCCTTCTGGCTCACTGGATGGCCCTTTTCCCTCAAAGTGTGTAATCACATTGTCTTCCCGTTCGCCTTCTGTCCCATTTCTTAGCAAGTTTGTCGTTGCGTTTCCATGTATACCACAGTGGGATGGCACCCACTGGACTACAGTACGCTTTTGTGCAGCCACCTTGCTAAGTTCAGATTTCAAGTGAGGAAGTATACCACTCTTGTGGGCTTGTAGCATCCGAGAAGATGACCACTTGGTGGCAGTCAGAACTACTGTTGTGTAACATTTCGGCAGCTTGCCCTAGTGCTGGAATCTCTGCTGTGTAGTTGGAATAGAATTTACCCGTGGGTATGTACTTTGTGTGGTGGTGGTAAAGATAAAGATGCCGGCATTTTTAACAACACTGTTTGCTGATCCGTCTGTGTATGTATGTACACACCACTGTCCGGGATAGTTTTCCTGGATCATATTAAGTACAGCTGATTGTTTTGGAAGTTCATTGTACTCATCTCCAGCTGTGAGTCTTGTAAGTCATCTTTGTTTTGTCGCTGGCATGCTCCCAACGTACAGGCTATAGGATAGATTTCAGCGATGGTTCATTAATTCTTGATATTCAAGTGTACTGGAGCACTAATCTCTGTAGTTGCGTCGACACCCTATGGGATGACTTCTTTTACAGCTTGAAGATTATTATTTTATTGAAATCTTGTGCTATAACACTGATGTCCCCATTTTGTACACTGAGAGCAGACAGCAGTGTATTTGTCTTGCCTCCGTATATGCTCCAGTTGGCTTCTTTAAAGTTCCAACGTGTGATGACTGGGCCCGTATTAATTGATACTCTTTACAGTAAGAAAAATCTGACGATGATCACTGCCCCCAGTAGGTCTCTCACCCCCCTACTTATAATTCCAGATATATCTGGGGTAGAAAGGTAAGATCTGGGGTTGACGTTGTCTGCCACCTTCTAGAGTAGAAGTTACGAGTTTGTGAGGGGGCGTTAACCAGGATCAGATAGTAGTCATCTTGCCAGGTTTCCACCACTTCATCCCTATTGTCGAGACAGTTTTAGCTCCAACTCTGTGAATGACTGTTAAAAATCTCCTACTGCAATAAATTTGGTGCTTGGTACCGGCACAGAGCTGAGACTTAAGGTTTGTCACTGGAGCAGTAGTATTTTAGGACGTTTATTTCCAGTTTGTCAGTTTTGAGTTGTAGCAGTTGGTACTGTGCTTCATGCATATATTCTGAAATGAATGAATACTTTTTTTTTTCACAAATGTAAGTAAGAGTTCTTTCATAAGTTCTTCTCCTTTCCGTCTGCTTTGTCTGTCAGATCTGAAGCACTGGTAGTCTTTCACTTTAAAGATCTGGACCCGCTTGCAAGCGGGTCTCGTGGATGTAGCACACACTGACTGACTTTTCGTACAGGGTGTTTACCATGTCTATTATTTTGATGTAGCCAGCCTGTTTACTATTGACTTCCTCTGCATTATGACAAAAGGCAATTCAGTGTCTTCCAATTTGTTTTCGTCAGTTACTATACTTTCCTTACTCCTAACTCCATAAGACGGTCTTAGACATTGGTTCTCAATCTTCCTAATGCCGCGACCCTTTAATACAGTTCCCGATGTTGTGGTGACCCCCCAACCGTAAACATATTTTCGTTGCTTCTTCATAACTTCAATGCAAATGTCTTTTCCCATGGTCTTAGGCAACCTGTGTGAAATGGTCGTTCGACCCCCAAAGGGGTCGCCACCCACAGATTGAGAACCGCTGGTCTAAGATGTCTTCTAGTAGTTCGGGGTGGATTCTTTCGAGGCTTAGAACCCGGAACTACACCTTCCTGGTGAAACCCCACAGAGCGAGCAACACAACCAGTCAATGTATTCATCCATAGCGGGAGTTGACAAATACTGAAGTTTTTGATTCGCTTTCTAGCCGAGTATTTCCGACTTCAGGATCTCGCCTTATCTCTTTTGTTGTTCAAATCAGTTTCCGGCTGGGGGTTGAGATCCCAACCTTCCACTTGATTGCTGTGATGAACAGGGTCACTACGTAAAGGTGAGGTAGACTTGAGCACGAGAGGCTGATAGTCTTGTCTTGGCATCGTTGCTCAATTTTGACCCCAGAGTTAATATGCACAGTAATATATATAATTAATTTACTAAAGGCAAAGCGGAACTAAATTATTGGAGCAGACCTTCAAGATAGTGAGGAAGGTTCGGCAATGCTTGTTACAGGCGTTGAAGAACGAAGTACACGGAACATTGCAATAAGAACGTATTATACATTACACGAAGAAATAGACACCTAGACCAGAGAACAAGGTTGTGACCCTCAGGGGGTCAAAAGTGTCAAAGATAAAGATCGACAGAGGAAGAGGATGCTTGAAGAGTTGACAAGAAAGTCCGAAAGGCAGAACAACTGCGGAATTGATTAAGAGTACACGGGGAAGATAACTATAAAACTGCATGGTTTCCAAAAACCCATGCATCATATGAGATAATAAAGGTTGCAGGTGAGCAACTTCTCTCTCTCTCTCTCTCTCTCTCTCTCTCTCTCTCTCTCTCTCTCTCTCTCTCTCTCTCTCTCTCTCTCTCTCTCTATCTCTCTTGCACGCGTGTGCGCTTTACAGGGTATGAAAGGTTTTTCTCGAATTTTCCCCAGATTCTGACGATGAGGGCGAAACCCATGAGGTGAGCTCAACTAACCAAACACCGCCAGGGCAGCCACTTCCAGAAAATATGTGGGCCGTAGGCAGACCAGATCTCTGGCGCACAAATGCTTTTCAAATATCGGCTTTTCTAGAACAGAGACGACAAATGCTTCAGAACCTGTTGCCACCTGGTTCTGACAGACTAAATGTTACCTCACCGCAACAAGTTCAGGCTGGTAACAATGTTATCGGTTGGCCACATGGCTTCCCACAGCACGCACTCGGACAACCTCTCTACCCGCCACCTCAATTACCAGAGATGTCAATGGATGGTAGGTATATGTTTCCTCTCCAAGGATTCAATCCCCTGGCGCAAGTTAGACAATTTGGAGAGCTCAATCGATGTTCAGATCTCGAAGTTCCCTTGTCTCTAGTGAAGAAAATGAAGCCCCATTATAATATGATGCCCAGCGACTGTAACAATAACCCAGAACCACAGAACTTCAGACAAAGTCCCATGAATATCAGACCTGTGCCTGGAAATTCACAGACTGAAGGATCCCTCTCTCATCGGCAGATGCAGCTGCCAGCAGGACATATACCTACTGACGCAAACATGGGCCTTGCTAATGTGCCTAGCCAATACAATAGGCTTGTCCCAGACATCGGGGTGATGACTCAGTTTTCAGGTGAGAGATTTCCTCGCACCGGCTCACAAGTACCTGGCCAAAATGTTTCTAGTCACGGTCGAAGTACATTACCAGAGAGGGGAGCAGTACCAACACCGTTAGAGACTGCACACAATTACGTAAGTTTTATTCTTTTTTTTTACGTTTATCTGTGATGACAAGCAGGTGTAGTAAATGACAACAACGCTTATTACTTCTTATTACTTCAAGCAACATGTCTGGAGGGTTTCTTCCCCTGTTCCTTTGCTTTGTTTAAATAAAAAAAAATTCGTCACGTTTAACCAGATTATCAGATGGAGGAGCTTATGGTTATACGTGTGACTAGGTTATTTGTGCCAATTAAAAGTGCTAGTATTGTCGCCACCAAATAGCACTGAAAAGGACTCTTGCAGAGTTTATGGGATCAAAAGAGAAGAAGTCGTCTACCGGCCAGCCACTGGGCAACCTGGTCGCAAACTGAAGAACATGTTCTGCAAGAATATACCTTGTACAGCCCATTAGGAAGACAATACTGATCCAGTGCGTCAACATCATAAGCATAGTTATATGGAGCTAAAGAAGGGACTCCTAAAACCAGACCTACGATGCTCTCTCACTATTATTGGCTGTTCACATTTCATAATCATATCAGCTCATATAAATAATCAGCAATATCCTATGATGCACGTTCAAAATTACTCACCTTTCATATCTTATGTGCACTAATATAAACTCATCATTAACGTGAAATGCACACTCACTTTCACTAGCATTCAAATGTCGCCTGCACTTACAAAAACTCACTATTAACCTGTGATGCACATTGTCACTACTCATCGTTCATATGTTGTTTGTACTCACATACACTCACATAAACTCATCATTAACCTGCAATACACTTTGACTATTACTCACAGTTTATAAGTCATGTACACTCATATAAAACCACTTTGAACCTGAGATTTGATTTTGATTTGATTTGATTCAAGAACCGACATCATAGCACCCGGGGCATTTCCATCAGCGCTCCGATCCCATCTTCAGCAGCCAGCGAAGAGTTCCGATACTAATGGTGCCAGTAGCTTTCTGATTCAACGTCCGTCTTGTCTTTCCTCTGAGCCTTGAGCTTCCGCCAGAATTTCAACCTGAGAAGGCGAAAAGACATGTCCAAGTCCCGCTCCTCCAGGACAGGTCTGCAGTTCATTGTAGGTCGTACTCACCCTCTGCCGAGGAATGTCAACTATGCTGAATGTCTCATTGCTGGCGCGCCATGTACCTAGATGCGGTGCTGGAGTACCTGGACGCTGAGGTGCTGGAGTTGGCTGGCAACGCTGCCTGTGACAATGAGAAAACCGGAATCATCCCTCGTAACCTTCAACTTACCATCCGCAATGACGAAGAGTTGAAGAGGTGTCACTATCACTCAGAGTCGTGTGCTGCCGTACATCCGGGCTGTGCTCCTGCCGGAGAAGTCGCAGAAAGTCACCTGCAAGAATACTGTCACTGCTGCACCCCTAATAAGCTACCACACCGCTGTATATATCAGTATATTTTAAAAATGTGTTGTCTCTAAAAATAAATGTTTCGACGACTTTCTTCTGTACTGAATTTAAACGGGAGCCGTCGCGGTGTAGCTCGAAGTTCGCCTGATGATCCGAAAGTCGTGGGTTGAATTCCGAGCGGAACTAGATGTTTCAAAAATAACCTTGGCTCCCAGGTAGACCCAGCGTTTAATGAGTACCAGAAAAGTTCTGGTAAGTAAAATGAACGCCGATTGGCCTATAAAATATATGGTCTAGTAGCATCATATGCCCAATACATTTGAAGGCCTGGAAAGGGTCCTTTCTTTATTGTATGGTCTCCAGTATTTAAATGGTGGTTTTTTTTTGGGCCTGTTTTTTTTTTTTTTAAACCTCATTTTTGTGCGCGAGTATGACTTTAAATTTCTGCGATTTAACTGACATGTTCATAATCATCATTACTATCAAGTGTTTTGTCGACTGGTATTCGTGATAATCTCTCTTCACAACTTGCGAGGTAAGAGAAGAGGCGGGTCCTTCCAGTACGACATTATACCTGGCTGCATGTGTAAACACGAAATCACCCGTACGCTTAGACTAAACTTATATTTTATAGACCAATCGGCACTTGGAGGGTAATGTGATCACCATCACACCGGTCGCCTTAACTTACTATTGCTGGTACCCGGTACCCATTTAGGGCGTGGTCGACCTGGGAGTTAAGGTCATTTTTGAAAAAAGTCTGGCTCCATCAGGATCTGAACCCACAATCGTCGGATCCGCGAGCGTCTATCCGCTACACCACGGCCGTTTATTGTAAGGTGATCTGCTGCCAAATCGCTCGCAGCTGGGATGGAACCCCAGAATTACGAAGCCTGTTCGCAACGCTGAAGCCACAGGCGCCCACATTGTCCAGTTAACTCAGACTAATTTGTTTTTGTTGCGATATTTTACTTCCACTAAATGCAGCCTCCATCAATGCCCACATACAACAGTTCATGGTTGGCCAAACCTGAGGTGATTTTGAGAAACCGTGACCTGTGGGCCACAACACACGAAGTAATTCTCAGTTCTAGCGGAAGGTAAGACTGTTTCGACCGAATTACTTATTTCAACACGCTGGGCATGTGAAAAGTGTAGCTTTCTGTTTTCTTTTACGTCTCGAGGCGTTGTGTTTGTTATCATGTCTCAACTACAACCAGTCATGTCTGAAACAATGTTTCTCTCTCCAGTGAAGCCAACGATATCTTTTTTTCTTGGTCCCCTACTACCCCCTGTCTGTTCATCTGTCTGTCTACCACCCCTCCCCATCCCTATCATTGTGAGGACGATATATTGCAGTAGTTCCTCGAAGAGCGACTGGTCGGACGGTGAAAAGCGGTGGGCTGTCATGTACGAGACCCAGGTTCGAATCTTTAGTGAGTCATTGGTTTTTTTCTTTCGGAGGAATAACATAAATTCGTGACCTGCACAGTCCATGGCGACAGCACTAGCTATACGACCATAATTGCTTAGGCTCAAAGACCCGCCTGCATACACTGCGAGAGGGGTAAATTCAGCTAGCAATTGTTCCTACCCCATGACATGCCCAAAGAACGGAGTTTGACTTCACGTCATTCATTTATAAATCCACACGTAAGCAGCTTCCACATCATTCTGCACTAACTTTCTGAGTGTCCATTCCGTGATCTAAAACTAGTTTCCTTTCGCTTTTCATTTCACTTACCAAATCACGTTTGCAAATCTTCTTCTTCAGTATTCCGAGCCCTTAATGATCATTGCTGCAGATATCACCTGAAGATATATTATCAATAAGGGTCGGGTGGTGGCAACCAGTTTTACGGTGGCAAGGAACAAGATCCCCACGGTTCTGGAGGAACCGGTGAAGAGTCTCGGTCGCGTTTACGATTCCAAGTTATCCGATAGAGCGGAGGTCCGGCGAATACATGAGTCACTGGCTACAGCCTGCTCGCGATCGAGCGATGCAGGCTGGTCGGGAAATTCAAGGTATGGTGTCTCCAATTCATGTTGATTCCGAAACTCCTATGGCCACTGTCAGTCTACGAGGTGACGATGACTGCAGTGGAAGCCATGGAAAAGAAAATCAACACAGCCTTGAGAAAGTGGATTGGTGCACCGCCTTGTCTGACCGACGTGGCTCTGTATTGTTAACAGGCTAAGCTGGTACTTCCGTTCAAGTCGATAACCGAAGAGTTTAAAGTCGGCAAGGTAAGACTCGCCATGCTTCTGCGCGAGTCTTCAGACCCAAATGTCATCGCTGTCCAGCCCGCTCTAAAGACTGGAACCAAATGGAGAGTCCTCGATGCGATAGAATCTGCTCAGAACGCACTACAATTGAGAGAGATTATGGGTTACACACAAACCGACCGTCGAGGCCTAGGGCACGGGAAGGTCAATTGGTGGTCGAAGGCCTCAGCCAAAGAACGCCGAGACATGGTAATACAAACGGTGAGGGACAACGAAAACGAGGTTCGGGTCCAGAAAGCAGCCCAGCAGTCGCAGCAGGGCCATTGGGTCAACCTGGAGAGCGCATTGCCAAGAATACTCACAAGGGGTGAGATCTGGCCGATGACCCCGCTGCGACTGAGCTTTATCGTTCGTTCGGCGTACGATGTATTACCGTCCGGTGTTAACATGGTTAAATCACGACCGGCTCCAGCTGACGGGCCGTGCTGCTGACGTCACCGGGTCGGGCAAACGATGCATTAACGCAGCATTTCTCAAACTGGGTGCTGAGGCAGCCTGGGGTGTCCTGAGCGTATGCCAGGGCTGCCGCGTAATAAAGAAAAGTCGGCTAAAAATGTGAAATAATGAAGAAGGCATGTAGATACTTAAAGATAAAATTTAAGTTGTCTTTCCTTGCCACTGTCGAAAATAGTTTATATCTTGTTTGAGAACCGCTGCGTTACCGCATCGTTAGCCTGACGCGGTGACGTCAGCAGCACGGCCCGTCAGCTGGAGCCGGTCATGGTTAAATGGTCTGCGACCAACGATCCGACTTGCCCGTTGTGCAAATCAAAGCAAACTCTTGAGCACGTCCTGTCCGCGTGCAGGAAAGCTCTAGGTCAAGGCCGCTATACCTGGCGCCACAACAAGGTGCTTAAAGAGTTAGCAGCCGTTGTCGACCAGGCTAGAATGAGGGCTAATGCCAGAGCCAGTTCTAGTATCGTCCCCATTCGTTTCCTCGAGGCTGGGCAGGTTCCAATTGGTAAGGTAAATACAAAAACGCATTCGCTCCATCTGTGCTAGACTCTGCGAGGGACTCTGCTAATAAAAGTCCAACATGTGTCCGGTAAACCAAAATAAGCTTGTCGCTCGGTCGTCCAGGCATGCGGACTATTTTAATTACGCTGCCGCGGCGGCTTCTTATCTCACAGTACCTCCTTCGAAACCACCAAGTCGTCTTGTCTCTGGCCGAAAGTATTACACCATCCGGTAATTCCGTGCAGCGGGAAACCAGCCCTGAGCGTCATGAACTCAGGAGGGCCCACCTCCGAATACGTCTAGGAATCGTGGGCCGAAACGTGTGTCGACGAGGATAATTTCTACTGATGACTAGTAGATTCCCGCTGTACTTGCTCCCTGTGAGTTTATTCCTATTGTGCACTGGCACAGGAACGGAGCAAGTATGGGGAAACCCAATTGCAGCGATGTTGAAACCTCGACTTAGAGCTAAGACTAAGATATCACCCGCCTCAAATCCTCATTCTGCTTAGCCTTTTCTTTCCAGCTGGTGACATAAAGTGATTGCAGGTCTGTCTGGATATTATCTCTCCATCGTCTTTTTGCTTCGCCTCTTTGTCTACGACAATTCAGCTCTCTCGTGTATACAGTTTTGTCCCAGCAATCTAAGTCTATTAGCCTATTTGTAATCCTTAAGGGTAAAAAAAAAATGATGACCGTCTCTTTCCAATATTGAGGTGCAGATTATCAGTACCTCGAGTTACATTCTAGTGCAGCAAACGATTATCTCACCATGCAGAGGTTTACATTGTGTGTATAAAAGTCATAACGGTTAGTGAGATGGGAGAACAGCACAGCGGATAATGACATACATTCACAGGCCGTCACATGACCACACTGTTGCTGACCACTTTCCACTGGTGCCATTTGCCATGTCTTTCTCCTGAAAATTGTCCGATACACATAAAGTAAGCGCCACAAAGCTGTGAATCAAGCGTGTACTAACTCACCACTCACACTGCCATGCTCTATCACCATGATTCGCCTTTCATATGTCATATGAGCTCAAATAAACTTAGCATTATCCTGAGATAAACACCCACTATTACTTACCGTTCATATGTCATGTGCACTAATATAAACTCACCATTAACGTGGAATGCACACTTACTTTTAGTAGCATTCAAATGTCGTTTATACTTACCAAACTCACTATTAACCTGCGAGGCACTTCCCTACTACTCATCGTTCCTCATATGTCGTTTGGACTCATTTAACTCACCATTAACCTGAAGTACGCTCTCACAATTACTGCCCATTCATAAATGATCTACACTCATATAAACTCAACAATAACCTGGGGTGCATGCTGACTATTCCTCGCAATTTTCCTGTCAAGCGGCCTCACATTATCTTACTATTCACTTATATTGAACATTACACTAACTCACTATTTTCCATACTCTAACACTACGATATTTCACTATTTACCTGTCACTCACACTCACATTATCTGGAAATTCACCTGTCTTTGACAATCACTATAGTACATCGTTTACCAGTCTTTCTCACTACGACAACTCACCAACCACCTGTCATTCCCTCTCAGATTATCTAACCATTCATCTATGACGCATACTCACCTGAAACCACAATTCCACTGGTGACTGACGTATTCATTCGCAGGCCGATGTTTCCATTCGTATCACTTTCCGTGAGCAAACTGCACCCAGCCCGGCAGTACAGCATCAGCCTAAAGATTGTTCCTTGCTCCAACCACCTCTATGAGTACCGCGACCACCAGTGGGTACCGTTACTTCAAGTATCGGAGGAGGCCAGAAACGCCGTC